TTTTTTTTTTTTTTTTTTTGGTACCGAGGATTGAACTCGGGACCTTGTGCTTGCGAGGCAGGTGCCAGAACCACTGAGCTAAATCCCCGGCTCATCCTTGACTTCTTTTTTTTTTGCTACGGGAATTGAACTCAGTAACCTTGTACTTGCAGGGGAGGTGGTGGAACTACTGAGCTAAATCCCCGGCCCATTCCTTGACCTCTGATGGGGTCAGTCCTGATAAACAGTTTGTCAGGTGAAACTCTTGTAAGTTGAAAGTGCATTTGGTGCACCCAACCTACCAAGCAGTCTAGCTTAGCTATACACATAGCACACTGTAGAGTATCATTTATGTACACTGTGATCATGTGACTGGGAGCTGTGTCCTGCTATCCTACCTACCATTGCAAGAGAGTATTGTACTGCATATCACTAGTTTGGGAAAATATCAAAATTCTAGGGGCAGGGATTTAGCTCAGTGGTTCTGCTGCCTGCCTTGCAAGCACAAGGTCCAAGTTCGATCCCTGGTACCAAAAAAAAAAGATCAAAATTGGAAGTATGATTTTTATTGAAAATGTATCACTTTAGTACCATTCTAAAATTGAAAAATTGGAATTTGAATCATTCATAAGCCAGGGACCTCCTGTATAATAATGTTTGATGAGAGGAGGAACATACAGGGTACTACAGGTGCACATAGCAGGGGCACCAGATCTTGTCCAGGGTGTGGACAAGGACATGACACTACAAAGCCCAAGCACAGGAGAGAGTTGGACCTTGCCTTTGTGTGCTCCACTTCATCCTCCCCCTAACCTATATGTCTGTCACCCATGAGTTACCTTTAGGGAACTCCCTCTAGGACACCATTTGAAAACTCTTATTAGCTCAGAGGTCTTTGAGTGTCTGTAGATTCCCAGATCCTCCAGCTGAATAGTTTTCTAGCCAAATTGGTTAAGATCTACTTAGAGGCCTGCGTTTGATTCACCAGGAGCCTCCATGTCTGTTTTAGATGGGACCTTGGGGACAGTGAAGCCAATGTTCTCTCTTTATCTGTGCCTCCCCCCCCCCCCAGGACGGGGTGGTACCTGTCCAGATGTTCTGGTGGGCCTGTGTATTGTTGGTTGCATGATGGATGAAAACTGTCAAGCTGGGGAAAAGTGCTGCAAGTCAGGCTGTGGACATTTCTGTGTCCCACAAATCCTGCTTCCCAAACAGACCACAAACTCCAACTGGACAATCACTTCTGATTCTGAAATAGGTGAGTACAGTCCCTTGCTGTTATCAACCAATGAAGGTAACAGACCTAACTGCTGTATGCCAAGACTGGTTTAGATATCGGGAAGGGAACTTTTGGAGGCCAAGAAGAGTGTAGTTGGAGAGAAAGAGTCTGTGTCGTAGACCAGAACCCTCATATGGAAAGTATTAGCTTATAGGTGTTGGGTTGGTGTGGTCCCCGGGACAGGTCTCTCTGGGATAGGTGGGATTTGATCTAGGTCCCTAAAGGCTAGGCAGATGTGACAAAGTGGTACTAGCACAGAGAAAATGCCAGAGAGGCAACATGATTGTTAGCAACATTTGGGCAGTGGGGGCTAGAGGGAGGGTGACTTCTGAACCACAAGGGTTGTTTAGGGAGCAGGCAGCCAAAACATGCCAAGGCTCTTCTGTGTGGAGGGGAAAAGATGTTGGGTAGCTGGAGTCAGGAGGGCACAGTTGTGATTTGATATTTTTTCTACTTGCAGAAACCCCAGTGCCCTAGTTGCTTGACTTGTCCAGAGATCTTTAGTGACTCCAGGAGGCTTGTCGTGGCAACCAGGAGAGGATGATGCCTTGGGGCTTGTAACAGTCCCTGCTGTAGCCTGGAGCATAGGAGATAGCTATGCTGTGGATGTTGGTGCTCCCTTCTCTCCTCCAATAAAGCCTGGTGCTGACCCTTGTGTCTGTGCTGTCTGGGGCTCAGATGAGATGGGGATCTGAGGTTCCGAGTGTGGCTGTGCAGCAGTGAGAACTACTGACAGAGGATGGGTGACCAGGCTTTCTGAGAACACTGAAATGGGTGATGGTTGGGTGTGGTGAGGGGCGAGAAGGGTGGAAGCTAGACGTGGGATCACCAGTCATAGAGGTCTCTCACCAGCCCAGGGTGCGAGAGGGGGTTTCTGTTTTCAGAACTGCTGACTTTATTTCTCTTTTTGGAGGAGATGGGTTGGGGGTGAACATGGGTGGGTGGCTAGTTTATTGCAGCTGTTGGAATGTTCCCTCCGTGTGCCTCCTTCCTTGAAGGCCAGCCCTTGATTCCAAGACAAGCAGTTTATCCCCTCCAGGAGCTTTACCATACTAGAGGATGTCCCTATGTTCTTGGGAACAAGGTAATTTTGAAAAATTATCTTTTATGGGCTGGGGATTTAGCTCAGTGGTTTCACCACCTGCTGCGCAAGCGCAAGGACCCGAGTTCAATCCCCGGTACCCCCCCCCATTGTCTTTTATAGACCCAAAATGGGTCATAGTCTATAAACTGGAGATCTTTTATGACCTCATATTATATTCTTTAAAAATTTTCTATTTTTCTTTTTTTTTTTTGCCAATTAACAAAAATATTTTCTCACCAAACATGTTACAAGATTCGCTTCTTTTCTTTATCTTTCTTTGAAGGGGCAGTACTGAGCCTTGAATCCAGGGCATTGTACTGAGCTATATCCCCAGCCCTTTTAATTTTTTTATTTTGAGACAGGGTCTCACTAAGTTGCTGGACTGGCTTTGAACTCAGAATCTTCCTGCCTCAGGCCCCTATCTAGCTGGAATTACAAGTGTGTGCCACTGTACCTGGTCTCAAGATTCAGTTTTGGTTTTTTTTTGAGACAGGATTTTGCTATGTAGTTCAGGCTGGACTTGAACTCATTATGTAGCCCAGGATGGCCTTGAACTACAATTCTGCCTCAGCCTCCCAAGTGCTGAGATTGTAGGTATTTGCCACAACTCTTGGCTAAGATTCAGGTTTTGCTGTTTCTTTTTGGTATGAGTTATAGTCAAGCATGTTTCCATGGTACATTTTAACTGTGGATGGAAATTATATGTGATTTCTGGTTTTCTTTACCTCCTTATATATATTAAAGCAGGATGGATTATTTCCAAGATGGTTAAACATACTCAAGATTGACCAAATTATCACATATTATTTTAATAGAACTCTATGAAATGGCTAATTTACTTAAATGGCCATTTTTATTAGACATTAATATCTTTATACATATATATCTTGGGTTATTTTTATAGGGAAATCTGGATAAATTCTTAGTACAATTCCTGGTTCTTTTTTCTTTTTTTTGGTACAGGGGATCGAATTCGGGACCTTGCGCTTGCAAGGTAGGCGGTGGCACTGCTGAGCTAAATCCCCAGCCCTGAATTCTATTTTCTTAAATGCAGCTGCCCACAAGCCCTCAATAAATATTTGTTGAGTAAATGAAAAAAATAAATGTAAATTCTTAGTGTATCAATTAAGAATTCTTTGGGTTGCGCATAATAGGAAGTCCAACTAACAGTGCAGGCAACAAAGAGATTTGATTTTCTCATTGGCGTGCAGAGAGAAGCAGTGAGAGGCTGGATTAGCATTTCCACTGTGACACTAGTGATTACTCACTCCTTTTTCCACCAGCCTTGCAGTGTTGGCTTTTGTCCTTGTGTGGTTACCTCATGGGTGCAGGAAGGTTGCTACAGCTCTAAATATCACAGCAGGGAGAAGCTGCATGTAGAGGGTAGTGGCAAAAAGACCTTCACCCCAAATGGTACTCCCTTTGTAAGGACTTCTTCCTCAGAAGTTGCCACAGGGAGGCTGGGAAAGCAAATATCAGGAGAGGGAATGGGAAAACATGACTGTTGTAGATTAATCATGCTTCATCCCTGGGGCTGGGGAGGGGCCTGCCTGGACCTAAAAGCTGTGATTCTAATTGCAAAGAAGAAAGAATGCTTTGTGAGCAGTGGATCATGAATTGTAGGTGCTGTTCTGGCTCAATGGCATGTGCATTTAAAATTTGGATTGAAATTGCTAAGTATAGCAGGAAAAGAATAGATGCTGGCACTCACCTTGAATATTGCAAAAATGCTTTGGTAATGACTGGCTTTAATGGAAAGAAATGGAGGTGAACTTTTCTTTTTTTTTGTACCGGGTATCGAACTCAGGTCCTTGCGCTTGCGCAGCAGGTGGCGAAACCATTGAGCTAAATCCCCAGCCCTATGGTGAACTTTAAAACAGTAACAAAAACGTATTTTCTGTCACTGCTGTGTACTTGCTGCCTTTTCCTTCCTGTTTTCGTATGGGCCTAAGAAATTCTAGTTTTTACTGGGTTTAGAACATTGGTTTCTTTGAGTAGACACACGTTAGTGCTGCCTGATCCAAAAATGAGTGGCCAGCATACTCTTTGCAGTGGCCTTCCCAGGACATCTGTGGCTGCAGGCAAAAGGGAAGGGCTGGTGTCAGTGTAATGGGTGCTGACCATTTTGTCAGATCCCTATTCCTTTATCATTTTATTATTTATTAAAAAGTCAAAATAACATATGCACACAATTTTTCTTTTTGACATGGGGTCTATGTTTTGCCCAGGCTGTCCTCAAACTCCTAGGCAACTGGTCCTACTAACTCTCTGAGAGCTGGGATTGTAGTTGCCTGGCTTTATGCACATAATTTAAGAAAATCATCAGGGTCGATCTTTGATGAAAATAACTGACCCATTGCCGATCTGTTCTCTTCTGGGATGGCTTGAGGATAGGTAGCAATGGGGGTGGGTAGTGATTGCTGAAGTTTTCCCCACTCCTAGGCCTTTCTGAGCAGTTTTCCCAATGTTTTACCCTAAACCACTGAAGCCTTCAGGAACTTACCTTCCACAGGGTTTAAATCTATTTCAGCCTCAGTTCTGGGAAATAGGGCTCAGAGAGCCCCGATTCTACCCTCAACCATTATCCCTAGCTTTGACCAGATTGAAAAGCCACCCCCAACCTTTCCATCTTTAGCTTCCTCTTAGTGGACAGGAATTTCTGGGCCTCTGATTCTTGCCATTCCTTAAGCTGGATTGACCGAGACCTTTGACCAGAGTCAGGGAGTCTTGCTGTCCCTGCCTGCTCTACTCATTTCCTTGCTCTGTGTTTGTGGAAGTGTCTGATTGCTCTGTGCTGTGAACCTTGGCAATATCATGGCACCTGCACCTCTTACCTGGTTGGGCTCTTACTGCTACCTCAGGGGTTGGGCATTATGTTGTTGTTAACTGGGATCTGTGGAGAGGAGGGTGGGAAATTGCTCTTGTGTGGAGAGATTTCTTTCCACTGTAGTTAAGCCCTCTTATCAAGGAGATAGATGCATAAAAGGATAGCTTAATGTTTGTATTCACAAATACAAGAATGATGAAACCCCCACACAGAGTGGGAATTCTTTGCTGGGTGCTTTAATCTCAGAGCCACCAGAGGGCAGCAGAAGTCTAAGTCATAGACCATTAATGGTATTCTAGAAGGTTAGGTAAAGGAAATGCTTGCTTTCTGTTTGAGTTTCTGGATCCCTACTGAATTACACTTAATAAATTAAGACCTAGCATTATGCTTTCCCTTTTCATAGTATGTAGCATGTATATGCATTTTCAGCAATATTTTTCTTGGGAACATTATTTATTATGCTGTATTAGTGGGTTTTTTTTTTTTTTTTTTTGTACTGGGGATTGAACTCAGGACCTTGTGCTTGCAAGGCAGGCGCGGTGTCACTGAGCTAAATCCCTGCCACTTTAGTGTTTTGTTTTTCCATTAAGTTTATTGATACATTTTAGGTATAAAATACAGTTAGATTCATCACTGGGATCTTGTACATGATGTATCTTGGTTCTTATTTTTTCCCCCTTCCCCTGCCCTCCCTTCACCCCCTCTACCCTTCCCTATTTGTAAAGACTTTGTTTCAGTTTTTTTCCTTTTCTCATATTTTTTTCTTTTCCCTTTTTTCCCTTCCCCTACCCCTCCCACTTCCCCAGCTCCTTTAGACCTGAGTGTGACTCCTTCATGGTGGGACAGAGTTGGAGAATGATCCCAGTGCAGCACCTGCCATATTGCCAGAGAATGTTTAATCAGGCATTGCTTTGGGAAGGGGTTGATTTGGATTGATCTGAAAAACAAGTACACTACAGCTTCCCTCCAGGATTTTGAGACACTACCACAGTGATAGGGTAAGAAACAGCCACAGGAGATAGATGCAGAGAGGTTGGTGAGGGCTAGACAAAGATCTGAGTAGTTCAAGCTCAGGCCAGAAAGGACATGCTGAGAGGCCAGGCCCAGTGGGTGTGGCTTTCAGGAATGGCTGGATCTGAAGGTAATGGTATTGAGTCCAGTGGTCTGCTTGAGCTCCTGCGCCTCTGCTCCATCCAGTGGAGACCAGAGGAATAACTGCTTTCCTGTTTACTAGCATGAAGAGGAGCACACCTCAGCTTGGATAGCTGCTACTGTCTGGGGTTGCCAATGGAGATGTGTCTCAGCGATGAGAAAAAGTGACTAAAACAGGACATGAAAAATGGAGCTAACAGATCCTAGATCAGTGATGGTGAAACTTTTAGAGACCAAGTGCCCAAACTGCAGCCCTAAACCTACTTATTTATCACAATGTGGCAACACTGTAATTAAACCTGCATACTGAAGTTTTTAGTTTAGACAAAACAACTCATACATTAGCATCTTTTGTCCTAAAAAACCCCACAATGACACGTGTCATAGGTTCACCACCACTGTCCTAGATGATGCAAAAGAGACTAAGATTAATTGAATTTACTAAACAATCAGAAGACAGCACAAATGGCATAATAAACCTCTTACCAGAAACAATAGCAGAAAAATTCCCAAATGTGGCAAAAGAATTTAACATACAGTTAAGTGAGGCATATAGAACCCTAAGTAGCCAGGATTAGAAAACAACCTCTCC